ACACACTCACTACAACATTACACTACACACTTATACACTACAACATTACACTAGACACACTCACTAAAACATTACACTACACACACACTCACTACAACATTACACTACACACTTATACACTACAACATTACACTAGACACACTCACTAAAACATTACACTACACACACACACTCACTAAAACATTACACTACACACACTCACTCAAACATTACACTACACACACACACTAAAACATCATACTACACACTCACTAAAACATTACACTACACACACACACTCACTAAACATTACACTACACTACACACACTAAAACATTACACTACACACACACACTCAATAAAACATTACACTACACACTTACTCACTAAAACATTACACTACACACACACTTACTAAAATATTACACTACACACACACTACAACATTACACTACACACACTCACTAAAACATTACACTACACACACACACTCACTAAAACATTACACTACACACACACTCACTAAAACATTACACTACACACACAAACTCACTAACACATTACACTACACACACACACTCACTAAAACATTACACTACACACACACTCACTAAAACATTACACTACACACACACACTCACTAAAACATTACACTACACACACACACTCACTAAAACATTACACTACACACACACACTCACTAAAACATTACACTACACACACACTCACTAAAACATTACACTACACACACACACTCACTAAAACATTACACTACACACACACACTCACTAAAACATTACACTACACACACACTCACTAAAACATTACACTACACACACACACTCACTAAAACATTACACTACACACACTCACTACAACATTACACTACACTCACTCACTAAAACACTACACACTCACTACAACATTACACTACACACACACACTCACTAAAACATCACACTACACACTCACTACAACATTACACTACACACTCACTAAACATTACACTACACACACACACTCACTCAAACATTACACTACACACACACATTCACTAAAACATCACACTACACACTCACTAAAATATTACACTACACACACACACTCACTACAACATTACACTACACACACACACACTCACTAAATATTACACTACACACACACACTCACTAAACATTACACTACACATACACACGCTCACTAAACATTACACTACACACACACTCACTCACTAAACATTACACTACACACACACTCACTAAAACATTACACTACACACACACTCACTAAAACATTACACTACACACTCACTAAAACACTACACACACACTCACTAAACATTACACTACACACACTCACTAAAACATTACACTACACACACTCACTAAAACATTACACACACACTCACTAAAACATTACACTACACACTCACTAAAACATTACACTACACACAAACACTCACTAAAACATCACACTACCACACTCACTAAAACATTACACTACACACTCACTAAAACATTACACTACACACACACACTCACTAAAACATTACACTACACACACACACTCACTAAAACATTACACTACACACACACTCACTAAAACATTATACTACACACACTCACTAAAACATTACACACACACTCACTAAAACATTACACACACACTCACTAAAACATTACACACACACTCACTAAAACATTACACACACACTCACTAAAACATTACACACACACTCACTAAAACATTACACACACACTCACTAAAACATTACACTACACTACACACACTAAAACCTTAAGCTACACGCACACACTAAAACACTACACTACACACACACTCACTAAAACATTACACTACACACACTCACTCACTAAAACATTACACTACACACACTCACTCAAACATTACACTACACACACACACTAAAACATCACACTACACACTCACTAAAACATTACACTACACGCACACACTCACTACAACATTACACTACATGCACACACTCACTACAACATTACACTACACACACACACTCACTACAACATTACACTACACACACACTCACTACATTACACTACACACACACTCACTACAACATTACACTACACACACACTCACTAAAACATTACACTACACTCACACACTCACTACAGCATTACACTACACACACTCTCTAAAACACTACACGCACACACTCACTACAACATTACACTACACTCACTCACTAACACATTACACTACACACACACTCACTAAAATATTACACTACACACACACTCGCTAAAACATTACACTACACACACACTACAACATTACACTACACACACTCACTAAAACATTACACTACACACACACACTAAAACACTACACTACACACACACTCACTAAAACACTACACTACACATACACACTCACTACAACATTACACTACACTTACACACTCACTACAACATTACACTACACACACTCACTAAAACACTACACACACACTCACTAAAACATTACACTACACACACACACTCACTAACTCACTAAAACACTACACACTCACTAAAACATTACACTACACACACACTAAAACATTACACTACACACACTCACTAAAACATAGCACTACACACACACTCACTAAACATTACACTACACACACACTCACTAAAACATTACACTACACACACACTCACTAAAACATTACACTACACACACACTCACTAAAACATTACACTACACACACACTCACTAAAACATTACACTACACACACTCACCAAAACATTACACTACACACACACTCACTACAACATTACACTACACACAACAACCACTCACGAGAAGAATACACTGCATACACCACACACTAAAACATCACAACACACACACACTGCTACACATTACAGCATTAACCCACACACTACTCCACACTAAGATACAACGAACACCATACACCAGACAGCACATCACAACCACGCACAAAAAAACATTCCACACATCACACAACGTACAATATAAATATTACACACTTCGAAAAAATTGGCAGGCATAGTACAATATAACTACACACAACCACACTCACTAAAACATTACGGCATAACACACGGCGCACACACACTAGACACACTAAAACTAAAAGTACGTAACACAATAAAACATCAGGACACTAAAACATTTCAACACGCATACCACAACATAACCCAAACGCAAACCTACAACCACCCGCACACACACACCAAGCACCACATCCAACACAGCACACACACACAAAGAAATGATTGCCCGCCACAATCACACGTGTCCTCTCCTCCCTCCTCCTCCTGAAGTCCCACACCGGTCTCCCGCCGTGACCCACATCACTCACTCTCTCTCTCGCGCTCTCGCCTTCATAGTGGGCGGGGGGGGGGGGCAAATACATATCGAGTACATCCAACGTTCCCGCGACGAGTCCGTGTACATCCCACATCAAATCCCATTCCGACCGCCCCACCACTACAAGCTCCCCGTCTCCGTGTTGTGGGTGGGCGCCACTTGGGAACGACCGTGAGAAGACGCACGCACGCGGATGACTGGATGAACAAAACCCCGGTGTCCACGTTACTGTGACGAGGCCGCATACATCCTCCCGACCGCTCCCCGTGTCTCACTTGGGACACGGGAACTCGAGATCCGTGGAGTTGGCGGGGGGTGCGAAACGGGCCGGTGTTTGGCACTCCGTGACAAAGACGGCCGGGTCTCCCGTTAACTCTGCCGATGATGGAGATAGCGATTATGATGGCGATTGAGGATTGTGATAATGATCGTGGTGGTGAAGATTGTGATGACGGTGGTGGTGGGTGGCCATGGTGGTAATGAAGATCGTGATTGTGATCATGGTGGCGATGATAACGATGATAGTGGTGGGCGTACGGGCATGTGAAGTTTGCGCGCATAATGGAGGCGTTGATGGCAATGATGGTTGTGAGGGTAATGATGAGAAAGATATGTGGTGGTTTTGAGGGTGATGATCGTGATTGACGATGAAGCCAGTGATGTTGATAATTATTGCGAGGATAGTAATGATGATTGTGACGACGATGATGGCGGTGCTTCACGATTTTGACGAGTATGGTGATGATTCATGTTGGAGATATGATTGTGTTCATGATGATGACGGCAGCAATAATGACGCTGATCGTGATGGAGATCATTATCTATGAGTGCGTTGATGTGTCTCTGATTACTTTCGTGATGACGTCGGTACTGTAATGATGTGGGATCGCCTTACTTCTGCGAATGATGCTGACTACAACGACAATGCTGCCGTTGCTGCCGATTATCATGCTTCTAAATCTGCTCAATGCTCCCAATGATGATGACGACGACGCTGGCGATGGTGTGGGTTAAGCTGCTGCCGATGATTAGGGTGATGCCGATTGTACTGCCGATGCTAATGCTAATGCCATCGCAGTTTCCGCTACTGTTGCTACTGTCGCTGCTACCGGATTCACGACAAATGCCACGAATTCTCCGTGCAAGAACCTCGCCCTCCCCAAAAAAAAAAATAATTTCCCTCGGGACCTTCCAACCCCACCCCCCCCTACACCGCCTCGCTCCGCCGGGCAAGGGCGAGCCTTGAGCCGCGGGAAATCCAGCCTAGGCGGGGGGGCTCGAGCGGATTACCCGGGACACTAGGCCTCGACTCCCCAACAAACAACCGACGGTGTTGACCGAAACACAGCAACGCCAACGACGGCAAATCAACTCCGCCCTCGGATAAAACAACTCGCAACCCACAACATCTCCCCCCGCCGCCAGCCGAGTGGAAGTGAGATGAAGTTGGGAGAAGGGAAGAGGAGGAGGAGGCGGGCGGGCGGCCGCCGCGGGCTCCGCGTGGCCCAGTGCGGACGGCGCTGAGGGGGGGTCCTCGAAACGCCGCGGCCACGGACAACCCAGGAATCCTCAGGGGCCTGGCAAGAGATAGGGGGGTAGCCGAAGGAGGAGTTTGGGGGGGGCCCTTTCAAGCGATAGCCCCGGGGACCCCCCTTACCGGGCCGAGGGGACTGCCCGAAGCGCAGTCCAACACCACCGCTGCCGACACCGCCGCCACAGTCGCTCATGGCCGCGTCGCCTCCTACTCCTCCTCCCCCCACCCCCAACTACCCCCACCCACTCCCGCCCGCTGAAGTGGAGACGTCACCGGAACTTCGATTCTGTGGATCGAGGGTTTTGTTATTTTGAAGGCGATTCCACGAACGTCTCTGTCCACCCCACCGCCACTGTCCCCGAACACAAAAAAGTGTCGAGGTTCGATTCCCCGTGAATCGTTTTTGTTTTAAAAGATAAAAATAGAATCGAAGGGCGCGGTATGTTCGATTTTTTGTTTCAATTTTGGGGAATCGATTCGTTGTGGATTGCACTATGTAACACAATTTTTGTTCCTGGGAACTAAGTGTTCTGTTTTTATTGTTTATGCCTCAAAAGTATAGAAAATGGCTATTATTCCCCGCAAAACTTAGCTTTTGTGACCAGGACTTTGCGTGAAAGAATGACACAAATGCACACGTTTTCTCATTGAAAATAGGAACATTTCAAAATATCAATATCCTGGTCACAAAAGCAAAGTTTGTGGGAGAATAATAGAAATTTTCTGTACTTTGGAGACATAAGCAATTAGGAAATAACACTTACTACCCAGGAACAAAAAAAAATTGTTACACAGTGTTATCAAAGTGACCAAGTAACCAGAATCAGAATATTTATTTATACTCCAAGGAATCCGATTAGCTATTAAGCTCTTTCTTTTAGCCAGATGTCCAGAAGGGTCACGGGGTCAGAACGTTACCACAACAATTAAAAAAACAACACGATATGAGTGCAAAATATAGAAAATGGTAAACAAAACACTTAACATAAACAAATAACACTGAACTATATTCTTTGCAACTTACCAGGTAAAATGCCACTGAGTTTACTTATTTTTCAGAAGCGACCTGGCCACAAATGACAGCCAATTAATTCTAGATTTGAAGCTTTCGTGACTGCAAGGATTCATACTCTTGTTTTTTTTTCGGTAAAGTCACGTGAGTAAAAAATAAAATAAAATAAATGAAAACAACTAAATTAAATGACGACGTTTCGGGCGCAACACAAGCGTCCGTCATCAGGGGGAAAAGCATGGTCCGCTGCTGAGGCAGACTGTTTTAAAGGGTGTGAAATGTGTGTAGCCCAAGGGTCATTGTTCTGTCCTTACAGGACGAAGGGTCAAGCCGTGCAAGGGGGGCAGCCGGGGGTCGGATTAAGTCGTGGGGGGCCTTTAGGGGCTGCAGCGTTCCCACCTACCGAAAAAAACAAAGAGTATGACAGCCAATTAACCTTATTCACAAATGTCTGCCCGTCACCTCTACAGAAAACAACGCAAGCTGTTGTTTTAGAACAGGGGTGGGGAACCTTTTTTCTGCCAAGGGCCATTTCGATATTTATGACATCATTTGCGGGCCATACAAAATTATCAACTTAAAAATTAGCCCGTTATATTTGGTCAAACATTTAAATAACTCGCCCCTAATGTGATGGCTGGAACGGCTTCTCTTTGGCGAGGCGTGTGATGTTAGCTGGTATTGATGATGTTGCTGCTACTCGCAACTGCTTTTCCAGGTTTGCTCCGAGATTTATTGAATTTCGAGTCCCGCCTGCAGTTGCCTTGGCAGGGCCACACCAAATGATTTCGCGGGCCTTGTACGGCCCACGGGCCGGACGTTCCCCACCCCTGGTTTACCACATCCCATCAGCCACACGGCCTTCCTTCTGGGAATGTACAATGTCCGCAGCATTGGTTCAATACGAGAAGACCTCTAAACGTGTTTTGACATTCCGTGTCCCATTGTCAAGCTCGAGTCAGGCTCGCATGAACCAATGCTGGTAAAACTGCTGGATGTTAAAGACAAAAACTGGTTTTGACATTCAGTGTTTCATCAGTAGAGTCAGACTAGCTTGAAACAATGCTGGTAAAACTGCCAGATGTTATAGGCAAGAGCGTGTTTTGATATTCACTGTCTCATCAGCAGTCAGACTCGCATGAACCAATGCTGGTAAAACTGCCAGATGTTATAGGCAAAGAGTAGTTTTGACATTCAGTGTCTCATCAGAAAAATCAGGTTCGCCTGAGCCAATGCTGGTAAAACTGCCAGATGTTATAGGCAAGAAGTGGTTTTGACATTCAGTGTATCATCAGTATAGTCAGACTAGCTTGGAACAATGCTGGTAAATCTGCCAGATGTTATAGGCAAGAGCTGGTTTCGACATTCAGTGTCTCATCAGCAGAGCCAGACTCGCTTGAGCCAATGCTGGTAAAACTGCGAGATGTTATAGGCAAAAACTGGTTTCGACATTCAGTGTATCATCAGCAGAGTCAGACTCGTGTAGCGTGTGTCATTTCGGAGGCACACACACTGTTCAGCGGAGGCAATTCTTTATTAATAAACAACCAACTGATCACCGGGTTCTATTATCAAGTGTGGCTATTCTGCCCTATACCGGTCACTGTGTGTGTGAGTTAGCTAGCGAACGGGTCTGTAGATCACACGCTACAGAACCCACGATTTCCAGCTAAGGGGCCGTCCATAAATGACGTCACGCACCTGGGAGGGGGGGGGGGTCAGACATTTGTGACGATGTGTGACGAGGGGGGGGGGGTGAGAAATGTGACGTCACATCAAAATGCGCAACTTTAAAATAATATAGACAACACGTTCTACTTCATTAAATAGACTTCATAATAAATGTTTTCTCCTACAACATCAGAGTGCAGCGCCGAATTAAATACGCACACCAATAACAATAGTTTAAAGCGATTTGAAGCATGTTTTATTATGGGGGGGTTTGGCAGAGCTTTGTGACGTCATATTTGAGGGGGGGGGTCTGACTTTTTTAGACGGCGCGTGACGAGGGGGGGGGGGGGTCAAAAAATTGTCCAAAATCGCGTGACGTCATTTATGGACGGCCCCTACCCCCTCGGCGCCCCCCCCTTTATCCCCTCGCCCCGCCCTCTACCACGCCCCCTGCTGCGTCCCGACCTGAGCTCTCCGCTCCCGGTCACGTGTCCTTCCAACCCACCAATGGAGGCTCTCCCAGTGCTCAGCGTCCATTCCCCCACTGTGACTGGCGCAACAGCGGGGAGACCACGTGATCGTGTCTCTACAATCTTGATTTGAAGCTTTCGTGACTGCAGGAATCTATACTCTTTGGTTCTTTCGGTGACGTCACGTAGGTAGAAATTAAATAATTCACGCGATGAACCAATGATGGTCAAACTGCCAGATGTTATAGGCAAGGAGTGGTTTTGACATTCAGTGTATCATCACTAGAGTCAGGCTTGCTTGAAGGTTCGCTCGCTTTTTCCGGTCAACCGCTGTTGATTTCCCCACAAAGCAGTGGCGGCTCCTGCAAAATCTCTCAGGGGGGGCAAATGTCTGGATGATTGATAATGATAAGGTCCACCCATGCAATGGATAAATTAACAGCTTAAGCATGTAAAGGCAACTTCACTTCTTTAATATTAATGAAAAATAAAGTGACTCTTACAATACATCTTGTTTGTTTCTATACTCACTATTAACACAATCCACTCAAGTTAATTTTATTAAGGATTCCACTAGGTGGCGACAAATTATATTGTTGGATGAAACGTGCTTACGTATGATGACGTAAGCACGTTAGGGCGAGCCCTCCCGGAAGCCATAGAGAATGCATTGGAGCGCCCGCCGTTCGAAAAAAAACATCTTTGAATGTAAGTCTATGGGGCCACTCGGGGCGATTCTCAGCCGGAGTGAAATCGCCCAAAAAAAGGCGGTACTCCACAGAACGTGACATGACGCTGATTGGACTATATCCAGAGGCACAGTGACGGCTAGCGTGACTCTGTGGTTGAATGACATTGGTGGTGCGTCGCCCAATCGCCCTAATGAAGAAACCGCCCCTGCTATACTCTTTGGTTCTTTCGGTAAAGTCACGTAGGTAGAAATAAAATAATTCACGCGATGAACCAATGCTGGTAAAACTGCCGGATGTTATAGGCAAGGAGTGGTTTTGACATTCAGTGTATCATCAGTAGAGTCAGGCTCGCTTGAAGGTTCGCTCGCTTTTTCCGGTCAACCGCTGCTGATTTCCCCACAAAGTGGTACTCATTTTATCGACCCTCGTAGGGATGATGAGCAATGGTCCTTCGTAGCAGAAAAAGTTTCAAATTCTGCTATGAACAAGGGCCATTATCCGAAACGTTGCTCATTATATGCTTATATTGAGGTCAGTGTTACTGGCACATTGTTGTTATGAGCTGTTGTTGTGTGTGCTTGTGCACCACTCACTGCAATACGTTCAACCAGAAAACAGGTCGAGGTGACGATTATATATTCAACAATTCCTACCCATTTTGTCTCTCTATTACACATGCTATGAAGAAGGGCTTTTGCCCGAAACGTCGCCTATTGCATTGACAAATGCGTTGAACTACGTTAATAAAGGGACACCACGATGGCGAGATGTTATCGTCCTCGCATGGTATCTAGGAGGTCCAAGGTTCGACCCCGACCCTGACGCCTGCTGCTGTATATTTGAGGTTTGTGGTCTCTCTCTCTCATCATCATCACGGTGGCTAGGAGATGTTAACTACATCGCCTGGTATACAGCAGGTCGTGGGTTCGCTCCCGACCCTGACGCCTGCTGCTGTATATTTGGAGTTTGCGTGTCTCTCTCTCTCTCATCATCATCATCACCACGGTGGCTAGATGTTAAGTACCTCGCATGGTGTGCAGGAGGTCGTGGGTTAGATCCCGACCCTGACGCCTGCCGCTGTATATTTGGAGTTTGCGGTGTCTCTCTCTCATCATCATCACGGTGGCTAGGAGATGTTAACTACCTCGCCTGGTCTACAGGAGGTCGTGGGTTCAAACCCGACCCTGACGCCTGCTGCTGTATATTTGGAGTTTGCGTGTCTCGCTCTCTCATCATCATCACGGTGGCTAGGAGATGTTAACTACCTCGCCTGGTGAACAGGAGGTCCAAGGTTCGATCCCGATCCCGACCCTGACGCCTGCTGCTGTATATTTGGAGTTTGCGTGTCTCTCTCTCTCTCGTCATCATCACGGTGGCTAGGAGATGTTAACTACCTCGCCTGGTCTACAGGA